TAAAGATAATCGAATAAGTAATCCACTCTAACTCCATATTTTCGAGAATCAGATGTCAAAATTGTGGAACGCTGCAGAAAACTTTGGAAACATGTCTCTTACAGTTTACGTGAGCTTCTAAGGTGCCAAGTTTGTGCTGACCGAGTTTTTCTATGATAAGTTGTGATTTTGAAAATGCAAAAAAATGCCTAAAAAACTTTACCGTTTTTTGCATTTTTCAGGAAAAACATAACTATTCTTAGAAATGCTCGATTAGCACAAACCTAACACTGTTAAAAAGAGCAGCTCACAAAACCTATAAGAAACATGGTCTTGGATTTCTCTGCAGCGTTTCAGATTTTTGCGATTTACCCGAAAATCACAGTGTATTCCAAGGATGCTTGTTTAATTGCAAAATATGTTCTAAAAGCTGTTCAAAAGCAAAGTTCTTGGAAATTGAGTACATAAGTAAGGAGACTTCTCGAATATGAAGTTGTGTCATACAAGTTCATACAAATTTTATTCAGAGCCTCCAGACTGAAGTGGAGAAGCCTCCGGTGGAACCATCTCCTATTGTACCTGCTGCACAGAAATCCACAAGCAAGCATGTCAATGTCGTCGAAATTCATGTGCGTATCTTGCTTACTCTTTTTCCTATCTGTTTGATGTTTTTTCAGAGCGATGGAGATGAAAGTGCTGTCGAGTCTTTGTTTGATTTGTCTGGCAGCGAAAAATCGTTGCCATACGAGTCTCTGATCACCAAAAGATTTCCGAGAGACATATTTCTAGAGAATTCCCCTTCAGTGGGTAAGGACTTTTATTTTTATTTAGTGACGTATGCGCTCATCAGCTTGAGTGTTGATTGCTCGAAACTCCAGCGATTTTATTTTAGTCTGTTTACTATTTGCCAAAGAATCAGGTCGTTACACAGCGCAATCGCAATCTTAAACTAAATGAATTCTTGCAGTACCTGTTGAACGGATACAATTTTAGGACAAAATGAATCTGGCTCATCGCCAGAAGTTTCTGCCATGGGGACAGTGGATGCGCAAGCGAGGGAAGATGCTGACCAGAGTATTTGGTCGACGGTAGCAAAGCCGCCAGTCAACCGCTCGCACATGGACTTGACGGCTGAGACAGATCTCGACCAGAGCGTCTGGTAATTGTGGAGTGGGATTGCGTTAGTTTTGTGCTTAATTCAATTTGTTTGTGGGAACTAAAGGGTTGTAGGAAGCTGTGGGCTCTGTGACATGTTCAAACTACTTCTTTTCTATATTGTATAATTTCCTCATGCTGTGTCCTTTGTTGTTTTGAGAAATTTCCAAAGCTGCTGTAAGATCTGCTTGCGCTGATCGATTGAAATGCAAAGGTCTAGCTACCAGCACCATCTTTTATCCTGCAACGCAAACTCAGAAATACTTTGGCGAAGCTTCTTC